AGCGCCACTTCCAGCTTTTTTCTTTTTGCTTATGTGGTGCTGAGGAATCAAACCCAGGGCCTCTGGCATGCAAGGCAAGTGCTCTACCACTGAGCTATCTTCCCAGCCCCTGTCAGTTTATTTTATCTGTGGTTCCTTAGGTTGTTGGTATCTGGCTATAAGTACTTAGGATCATAGAAAAATATACCCTAAAAGATACTTAATCAAGATTCCAATGGTGGATGGCGTGAAATATACAAGACTTACTCCTGGTCCTGCCCCAGCCGGTAATGTAGCAGGGAGTGTTGTTAGGCAGGACAGTTCCTTCCTGGGGTAGAACACCCAGTTGGACGTAGCTATTGAGTGTTACACTCTGGGCCAGTCGAAGCAGGGCGATGTCATAGCTGCACGAGGAAAAGAGACAGCTCACTTGTGGTATCAGATCAGCACATGTGTGCATAGTCCTTTGTGCCCTCACAGAGTTGCAAACAAACCACTTTAACGGAGGGGGCCAACTTGCCAAATTCAACCATAGGACATTATATGTTTAACAGCGACATCTTTTGGTTGAATATTGGTATTGCAGCATAGTTGTGCTGTGCAATCCTCCCAAGTAGCTGGGATTATAGGTTTGAGCCCCTGACACCTAGCTTTACAGTGCTTCTGTGTTTGTTTGTCCCGAGACTTGAACTCAGGGCCTGGTTACTGTCCCTGAGCTTCTTTTGCTCAAGGCTAGCACTCTACCACCTGAGCCACAAAACCACTTCTGGCCTTTTCTGTTTATGTGGTACTGAGGAATCAAACCCAGGGCTTCATGCATGCTAGGCAAGCACTCTACCACGAAGCCACATTCCCAGCCCTACAGCGCTTGTGTGTAAGAGTCACTTTAAGAATAGCTTTGGGGTATAGCTTAGTGCAAGAACATTTGCTTTAGTATGTGTGAGATCCTGAGTCTGATCTCCAACAACAAGAAAAACAAAAACAAAAATAAATAAAATAAAGAGATTTCCTTTTTCTGATGGGATTTGTTCCATAAAACAAATAAGAAATATTATTAAGCTTGACACCAGTGGTTCACCCCTGAGATACTATCTATTCAGGAGGCTGAGATCTGAGGATCACGGTTTGAAGCCAGCTGGGGCGGGAAACTGTGAGACTCTTATCTCCAATTAACTATTAAAAAGACTGAAGTGGATTTGTGGCTCAAGTAGTAGAGTGCTAATCTTAAGTAAAAAAGCTCAGGGACAGTGCCTAGGCTCTGAGTACAAGCCCCAGGACTGACACAACAGCACAAAACAAAAGAACACAAGACACCTCTATCCCCAAACTACAAAGAGGCTTCCGTGATGCACACCTGTTCACCTCAAACAAATCCTAAGCATCTTCAGACATTCTCCTTCTGTGGCTCCCTGCATGAGCCAGTGCCCTGGCTCAGGCTCACACACCAAGTGTCAGACAGTGCAATCTCTAGTCCTCTGGGAACATATGTGAAGGAAGCCAAGACTCAGCCTACTGGGCCAGGCAGCCATTGCCCTCCCAGCCCAGGGCCAGCCCGGCCCGGTCCCTACCCGGCAGCCACGTTGTTGCTGTTCCACTTTTCATGCACCACGATCTTCTGCACACTTAAGTACTGCTCGGTACCGTCGTTCTGATACAGGTTGTGGTCTCCCACAACCACGCGGAAGGTCAGGGCTCTGCAGGGAGGGAAAAGAGCTCAGAGGAGGGTCCCCTTGGAGAAAAGTTAGAAAGCCATTTTATGTCTTATCTTTAGGATAGGAACTCATCTTGCTCGGGCGGAGGAGGAAGAAAGACCCTTGCAGATAAGAAGGAAACAAATGCTCTCATTCCTTAATTTACTAACGTGTTGTACCACAGTTTATGAAGCTAACACGACAAGGCTGAATATCTCAGAATTGGGGTGGGGGGGGAGGAGGGAGGTGGGCACGAATAATGGCATTCAGCTACAGAGGGACTTTTAGGGAAATAGAAACTTCTAGGCTAATCATCTGGGAAAAAAAATGTTTGTTTTGTTTTTGACACGGGATTTCATGATGTAGCCCGGGCTGGCTCAAATTCTATGTCCTCCTGTTTTAGCCTCTAATGCTGGGATTATAAGTATCTGCCATCATGCCCAATACTGGGACTTGAACTAAGGTTCTAGGTGCTACCCTTAGCTTTGTCCCTCAAGGATGGCACTCTACCACTTGAGCCACAGCTCCACTTCTGTTTTCTTTTTGGTCATTAATTGGAGATAAGAGTCTCCTGGATATTCTTGCCTAGGCTGGTTTCAAACTGTGATCCTCAGATCTCAGCCTCCTGAGAGTAGTTAGGATTATAGGCACAAGCCATGGATACCCAGCTTAGACAAGTGCCTCTTGAAGTGTGGCCCCAAGGCCAACATTGTTAGCATGGATCACCTGAAAACTTGCTAGAAATGAAATCATCACCCGGGACCTTCCCAATCAGAAACACCGCTGGGCGGATCCATGCCTTTCATGTTCTCCTGAGTCATGCTCAGATTTGAGAACTGCTTATTACAAATGTGAAAAAAAAAATCTAGTTAGCAGTCCTGTATTGACTGTTTAAATATTTATTCAGTCCTCACAACAACTCTATCAAGTTGGTATTGTAGAGATAAGAGACTGGTAGAGTAGAGAAGCTAAGGAAATGTACCAAGGTTACAGAGCTGGAAAATGGTGCAATTGCAACAGGGGCTTAAATGCTGCTTTTGTTGAGGAGTGTGGAATCCTTGCTTGGCCTCACAAACGAGCTGCAAGCAGGATACTAGCTAAGCATCCCAGCCTCCGCCATTTTGTATCCATTTCTTTTTCCTGAGCCATTCTCTCTTGCAGTCCCTTTACAGGCATCTTGGAAGCCAAGTAGGAGCAAACAGGAGGCCAAACCATGTGCCAGGCATCAAGGGCTCTCTTATACTAAGGCCCAACTCAACCAATCCGTAGACAATGGAGTACTCTACTACATTGGACCACCATGAACATGTCTGTGACTGAAACCATTTAACTCTACATCTCCCTTCTTGTCTATTAAACCAATAGCTCACGTCTATATTCCAAAGATGTCTAGAGTGCTGTCTTCCCATACAATACATTTATTGTGCCACACAATCAATCTGCCTTTGCATTTGACCTCTAGGGGTGAGGAGCTGGACAGGTACAATTCCTGGGGTTTGGGTCTGAGATTTAAAACTCCAGTTTCAGCAGATTTGAACCCAAGCTTGCCTAACTGAAAAACTTGTACTTTTCTCTTGCCTATCCAACCTCGCTTAGCCCCCAAATACAAATGGGTTGGGCAGTGGTTCCCCAGTCAACCCTTTGAAAGCTTTGTCCTGAGAAGCCAAAGACCAGTGTGCCCGTCCGCTCCCAGGGGAAAGGCTGCGCCCACCTGTCCACGCAGTGCGCAGCCGTCATCACCCAGTTCCGTCTGACGAGGGTCCCCCCGCATGTGTGATGCCACTGCCCTCCTGACAAATACTGGAGGGAAATCTACATAGGAAGGAAGAAAAGAGGGACAGGTTGGTGCTTCCCAAAAGGCTTTACCCTCCCCCATACAACACACCGCCTCCTTAAATTCCTGACATCCTTCAACACATTCCCCCTGGTTCTGGGTCACTTATAGCATAAAATAGTGGCTTTCTTTTCTTCTGCCAGTTGCTCAGGGCTGGTTGGTAGAGGCTACCACATTGCTGGGAATAGGCGTGGAGATGCCTCTGGGGCCAGCTGGAAAGGATGCTCCATTGTTTGGGGTGTTTGCTGTGTCTCCCATGGGGGAGAAAGCACCCACAGGGCCTCAGACAGCCTTACTCCAGGTTGTGGCCATGAGCCTCTGTTCCCTCTCCGAAAGAAAATGTAGCCAAGGCGTTTCTCCTTCAGCCAAGCCCATAGGCTTAAGACTCCAGAGCTCTCCCTTTGATATTTTTATGAAATACCGTCTCCCATGTGTGGAGTTCTTAGAAATGCAATGGGAAGTCGGACACCAGTAGCGCATGCCTGTAATCCTAGCTACTCAGGAGGCTGAGATCTGAAGATTGATATACAAAGCCAACCAGGGCAGAAAAATTTGCGAGACTTTTATCTCCAGTGGACTAGCAAAGAAGTTGGAACCAAAGGGCTGAGAAGGTGGCTCAGTGGTAGAGCGCTTGCCTTGCATGCTCAAGGCCCTGGGTTCTATTCCTCAGCTCCACATAAACAAAAAGAAAAAAGCCGGAAGTGGCGCTGTGGCTCAAGTGGTAGAGCACTAGCCTTGAGCTGAAGAGCTGAGGGACAGTGCCCAGGCCCAGAGTTCAGGCCCCACGACCGGACCCAAAAAAAAAAGAAGTTGGAACTGGAGGAATGGTTCAAGTGGTAGAGTGCTAGCTGTGAGCAAAACAGCCGAGTGAGAGTGTGAGGAGACCCCGGGTTCAAGCTCCAGTACTGACAAAAAGAAAATAAAGTCCAATTGTTTCAGTGTTACTGGTTCATGTTTTTTTATATTACACAATAGCTCTGTTCCCAAAAATTAGGCCTCAAAACTATTATACACTGAATGTAATTAAGTTGCAGGTATTTCTGTCCAAGTGTTCACCAATTGATTGCCAGTTTTATACATTAGACTTGCTTAAATTAGGGCGCAGCTGCTCTGTGACAAACAAGGAAACTCTTTAACCAAATAAGCAACATGCTGGGCCATGTGGGTTGGTGTAAATGGGGTTGGGTGACACACCGTGCGGAGAAATGAGTGCATGTGTGTCTCTAGGTATGTAGAGCTCACTGCCAGTGGCTCACACCTGCAAGCCTAGCTATTTAGGAGGTTGAGATCCAGAGGATTGAAGTCTGAGGCCAGACTGAGCAGAAAAGTCTGAAATTCCATCTCCCAAAGCAATCAGCAAAAAACTGGGCTGGAGACTTGTTTCAAGTGGGGAGAATGACAGACAAGCAAGCTGAGCAAACATACTCTCAAGAGTTCAAACCCCAGGACCTATGGGAAAAAACTATGTGGAGCTGGATGTGTAGGTCTGGCACACAGTCTTGTGAGTTTTTTGTACGTAGTGTCCCTGGGTGTATAAAGTAGTTGATGAGTTGAGCATGTCGCTCAGTAACACAGCATTTGCCTAGCATGTAGAAGGCTTTGGGTTCACAGTCCCAGCACCACTAAAAAGAAAATGGAGTTTGGTTGGGATGTATACCTGGGAGAACATGCTTGGTGTATAAACTCCCCACCTTCCAAGCCTTCTGCAACACCTGACCTGCTCTCAGCGGTCTTTAAAATCCAACAGGAGCTGGGGGCCAGTGGCTCACCCCTCCCCAGCTACTCAGGAGGCTGAAATCTGAGGATCATGGGTCCAAGACAGCCTGGGCAGCAAAATCTGGGAGACTCTAATCTCTAATTAACCACCAGAAAAAAAAAAGCCAAAAATGGTGCTGTGGCTCAAGTGGTAGAGTGCTAGCCTTGAACAACAGAAACTCAAGGACAGCACCCAAACCCTAACTTCAAGCCCCACTACCAGCACACATCCATACACAAAAATCTAGCAATTGATGAATGGCCTGTTGACACACTCGCATACACACACACACACACACACACACACACACACACACACACACCCCCCCCATACTGGAAAAATCCTGGCTGTGAAGGAACACTCACCTGAGAGGGCCAGGAATTCCTTTGGGCCTCAGTCCCTCCAACTACGCGTGCGTTGGTTTCTGGAACATCCTGGGTGCTGTGTCCTTTGTGGCAGAAGAGACATGAGTGATGACTAAGCATGGGGTCAGCGGGGGTGGGGGCAGGGAGGGGCCCTGGCTTTGATGGGGGGTTAGCCTTGTCTGCAAATTCACAGCTCTTCCCTGACAACCCTGCCCGCCCTCCCCCTCCCACCCCCCTCCCCCTTCTCCAAGCCCCTTTGGAAATCAGCAGCCAGGCCAGTGCCTTCTGCAGCTCTCCACAATCAAGCAGCCCAGGGCCACACAGGGCCCATGAGGCCATAGCTTTTGCCTTAGGTCTCGCTTGGGGCTTGAGAGAATCCTCTCACTAGGTTTTGGCAGAGATTTTCCCCAGGGCCAGGTGTTGGCTGACCATCGCCTCCTGTCCAGGCACCGGAGGGGATGCCCAGGCTCCCCCCTGCAAGGGCCACTTTCTGCTTGGTGGCTCAGGGGACCTGAGGTCCAGAAGGCCCTTGCCTGGCCCACCAAGGGCCCTGGTTCCCTTCCTGCCTTGCTGTCCAAGAGAGGAAAGGCAGAGCATCCCACCTGGGCTTAGGGAAGGCTTTCCCTGCTCTCCCTCCAATCGCCCTTCCCTCAGCCCTCGGGCAGAGTGATCCACTTACCATAAAGGACCAAGGTGGCAAAGAGCAGGACACGGAGCATGGTGTTGGCTAAGAGACCACTGTCCCCTGCCGGGAAGCAGGCCCTCTTTATCCACCTCTTATCAGCAGCCTTGCTGACCGCCTTCCTGCCAGCTGGCAGAGCTGTGAGGGAAGGCAGAAAAACTCACAGGTGCCATGGAAATACAAAGGAAAAAGATTTCTTAGGCAAGTCAACTCATTTATCTGTTGTTCAAAGACAGATCAAGGTTGGAGCTCAGTTAATCATCTGGCTTTAGTTGAAAAGCATCCAAAATAAAAAAGTCTTTTGCAGAACTCAAATGAAGAGCCTAGAACTGTTTTTATTCCCCCCTTCAGAGTGCATCCCTTATTGTCCTACCTTCATTGTCCCTCTGCATTCGGTGGCGGGGACCTGCTCTACATACTAGGGGGTGAAGGCAGCCGATGGAGAGGCGGGGAGAGGGGAGAGGGATAGGAGGAGGGGAGCAGGCCTGGTGGCTTTTAACTTTGTACACAGGGAGACAGACTGGCACCCAGCATGCAGAACAGGGCAGGGCAGACTCTGAAATACAAAGTCGGAAGGAGATCTCCCAAGCAGGGGAAAGTGAGGCAGGATGGGGAGCGAGTCTGAGGGCTGTGAGGGTGAAGGGCTGGGCCCTGCAGGAGGTAAAGGGCCCTCGCTTGGTCAAGAGGAGAAAGGAGGGAGAGGAAGTGTGCCTTGGGGTGGGCACAAAATGATCAGAACCACTGCAGGCACCAGGGCTGCGGTGGAGGCAAAGAGTAGGAGCTTTTCAGTCATGGGGCTTAAGCTCAGGTTCTGGGCCCTGCCTCTGAACTCTTTTGCTCAAGGATAGTGCTCTACCGCTTGAGCTGCAGGACAACTTCTGGCTTCCTCGTACTTAATTGGAGATAAGAGTCTCCCAGACTTTCCTGCCTGGGCTGGCTTCAAACCATGATCGTCAGATCTCAGCCTCCTGATAGCTAGGATTACAGGTGTGAGCCACCAGCGCCCGGCTAGAAGCTATTATTTTTTAATTTAAAATTTTTGTTTATGTTTCCTGAGACAGCATCTTATGTTAACCCAGTCTGGTCTCCCCCACTTGCCCCCCATCCTCCTCAGTCTCCCAAGAACTGGGATTACAGGCATGTGCTAATGCTGTTGTGGTCGGCTTTAATGCAGAGCTTATTTTGGGAAGGGAGAAGCCTAGAAGCCTCCAGCGAAGCAAGCACATCTCCTGACTCATCTATGGTTTCTGTGGCCCTTAGATTTGAGATTCTAGACTTTCTTCCTGCATGGCTGGGAGAGACAGGGAAAGGGTGTTTGAAGGAATCTGCACAGTATTTACCTTTCAGGTCCCTTGAGCTGTTTGGAGTAGTTTTGCTTTGATGTTCAGGTTGCTGGAGGGTAGCCCTGACACAGCCCAGACCTGAGAAAAGAGGGTGGAGCTGGGCTGGTCTCTCTCTCACCTCTCTGCTTCTCTGAAGAGAAAGAGACCCTGCCTAAGGTCTTAGGGCAGGGACTTATCCACACAAACTCAAGCTGTGTTTGCTTAAAAACCAAAACTTTAGGCTGGGTGCAGTGACTCAGGCCTGTAATCCTAGCTACTTGGAGGCTGAGATCTGGAAGCTGTGCAGAGCCAGACCCAGGAGCTTGTGAAGTCTTTATGGCAACCAATAAAAGCTGGGCTCCATGGAGTATACATCTCATCCCACCTGATAAATAGGAGGATCGTGGTCCAGGCTAGCCTAAGCAAAACGTGAGACTCTATTTGAAAAATAACTAAGTAAAAAAAGGGGCTGGGAGAATGGCCTGAGTGGTAAGAATGCCTGCTTTGCTAGCAAGAGGCCCTGAATTCAAATCTTAGTACCTACCTCCCCCACCAAGAATCAGACTTAAATGAATTGATATGAAAAGACAGTTACACAGAGTGTGGTATACATCTGTATACTCATAGAAAAAAGTATAGGAGTGTTTCGATATCAAACTGTCAACAGTTATTCTAGAGAAGAACTCTGTAGGGAAAGGACACTATGAATTCCTTTCCTTTTTCAGGAGTGGGGAATGGTTCTGGGATTTGAACTCAGAGCCTCATGCTTGCTAGGCTGATGCTTTGTTACTGAGCCACTCCAACACATAGCTTTTGTAATTAAAAATAATAAATCCGGATTCGGAATGTGGCTTGGTGGTAGAATGCTTGCTTAGCATGCAAGAAGCCCTGAGTTCAATTCCTCAGTACCGCATAAACAGAAAAGTCCAGAAGTAGTGCTGTGGCTCAAGTAGTAGAGTGCTAACCTTGAGCAAAAGAACCTCAAGGACAGTGCCCAGGCCATGAGTTCATGCTCCAGGACTGGAAAACAACACCAACAATAATAATTTCTAAGATAGCTGTTTGGGCAATCGTCTAATACTCTTCAAATGGGAGACTGAAGTCAGATGGATCAGCACTTTAGTGCCAAGATGTCAGAAAAGTGTTTCCTAGGGCTAGCTGCAGGTTTTCTGAGGTGGTGGCCCTAGGTTAGCTTTGAGACTGTCAGGAGGAAGAGTACAGGTGTGAGCTAGGCCATGCCAGCTACAGGTAAAGGGAAGGATGAAGAGCTAGTGTTTCTTAGCTGCTGCTGTCTTTCTCTTCCTCCTCCTCCTCCTCCCCCCCCTCCTCCTCCTCCTTTTCCTTCTTCTTTATCTTCTTTTAGTGCTGCACCTTGGCTTAAACTCAAGGCCTTGCAGCCTCATTGTGCTTTTCGATCATTGGTACTACTACCCCTTGAGCCATACTTCCGGAAAAGCATTTTGCTAGTTAATTGAAAATAGTCTGAGGCCCACGGTCCTCAGATCTCAGACTTTTGGGTAGCTAGAATTACAGGTGAGAGCCACGTTCTTACTACCGCAGTCATTGCCCTTTCCTCCCCTGTGCTCCTCTTGCCCCTCTCCTGGGCCCACTCTGGGGGGGGGGGAGGGGGCGGGATGTGGTCCTGCCATGCCCCAGGCTCCCTAAGCATGGTCATTATCAGCTGCTAGCTCCTGGAAGATGCCATGTTATTTGAGGACAGGTGGGAGGAGGCGTGTTGGTACTGAAATAGGTTGCCTTGGCTGGAAACCATATGAATGGGCTGGGCATTGTTGGGTGCTGCTATCCACAATACAATGATTTCTGCCTGACAGATGTCTAGGTGTTTAATGCCACCAATGGGCTCAAGGTGAGGGGTCATGACTTCTCACAGCTGGCCTGATTTATTCATGTGACACTCAAATCCCTTCTGCACCGGGCACCCACCTGCTCCTCCATAGGGCTGATGCCAGCAGGTATGGTGCCCAGCCCAGAATACTTCAAAGGGCCCATAAACTAAGATGGTTTACTTTCTCTTGAGTTTAGAAGAAATTACAATCTGTATATTCACCTTTAGAATGATGTAGTCATCTATTGTATGGCTACATAAATTACATATAAATTATAGTTAGTTGTGTGTTTGTGTGTGTGTGTTTGGTGCTGGTCCTAGAGCCTGAACTTAGAACCTGGGTATTGTCCCTGTGTTTCTTTTGCTTAAGTCTAGCACTCTACCACTTCTGGCTTTTTGCTTGTTAGAGATAAGCATCTCAAGGACTTTCCTGTCTGGGATGGCTTAGAACCACATCTTATCTCAGTGTCCTCAGTGGCTAGGATTACAGGTATGCGCCTTGGAGCATGGCTATTATTAGTTTATTTTAATGAAACAAGAGTACTATGAAGACCAAAGTGTCTAGGGTTCACCAAAGTCCAAATGTGGCCTTTGGAACTAGACATGTGGAATGCCTCACATACACAAAGCCCTCATTTCCATTCCTAGCACAGCATCAGAGTTCTTGTGCTGGGCAGGTATGGTGGTGCATATCTGTATCTCAGTACTGGGAAGGCTGAGACAAGAGGGTCTTCAGTTTGAGGACATTCTAAGTAACATAGCAAGATACAGTCTCAAAAAACAAAACAGCCAGGTGCCAGTGGCTCATTCCTGTAAGTGTAGCTGCTCAGGAGGCTGAGATCTCAGGATCAGGGTTTGAAGCCAGCCTGAGCAAGAAAGTACAGCAGACTCCAACTAATTAATCAATCAATTAATTAACTAGCATACAAGCCAGAGGTAGAGATGTGGCTCAAGTGGTAGAGCACTAACCCTGAGTGGAAAAAGTTTAGGGACAGCACCCAGGCTAGCCCCAGAGCCAGCACAAACAATAACCCAAAACAGGAAAACAAATGACTAAACGCAACCAATGGCCTTCATCTTCCAGCTCTTATGCCTATTGCTCCCTCACCCTGCTGTCCTCTTGGTTTTCTAGACCTGCTTCTGCCTTTGTTCCCTAGAGGCTCTTGTACATTCCAGACGGTGCTAGAGTCCTTCCCACGTCAGGACTTGTCCTTTGATGGTTTTCGTCACTCTTAGCTCACCTAGCACATTTCTGGACATTGTCTGGCCTGTCACAGCTTGTTTTCATTTCAAGTGGGACTTCTGGTGGAAGGACCTCATCTTCCATGGCCTGGTGCTTGACTCCAGTGCACGGGGCTCCGTGTGAGGCCACAGGAGGTTTGGGGAGAAGAGACATGGTTGTGACCAAGCTTTTCAGCTCAGAGACAACACAGGGAAGGCAGAACTCAGCCCAACTTCCTCTACCATTGCCATAAAACCTTTATTTCCACGCCCAATTCCTTTCCCTTTCACCACCTCAGATCCGGATCTGGTTGGGTCATTTCAGAATGTCTCTTTTTCTGGAAAGCTTCCAGGGGCAAAGGGGCCTCTGCAGTGTTGGGTTCCAGGGAAGAGCTGTGGTTCCATGGCACCATCTTGTGGCTACAGCCTGCTATTGCATCCAGAAAAGCCTTCCACCCCAAAGCAGCCAGCCCTGTGTGGGTGGGTGGGGTCTAACTAGTTCTGGACCTCTTAGCACATGCTCCTGCTTTCTCAGACTTGCCGGGATTCTACACAGCCTGAACTGGGATCTAGCCTCTGGGCTGCCAATACCTTATTGGGCCCATGACTGGGTGGTGCTGGGTGAATTCATTGGTCTGGCTTTAGTTTCAGAATATGAAATGAAAGGGCTGGACTAAAGTACAGTTTCAAACCAGGCTTAGCAGACCTTCTTGAACTCCCTGGATCTCCCATGCCACTATGCTTTTTAATCTAGCTTAAAAGGACCTGGGATGGAAACTTGAAAACAAACAAAAAACAAAATCCCTGGTTCCAGGAGCTTCTTCAATACTAATATCCCAGGATTCTCAGTGTGGTCTCCTTCCACCAGCCAACCCAGTTCTAGGCTTTATGGAGGCCAGGCAGTGAGAAATGATCAGAACGGGGAGAAGAGGGAATGGCAAGGCTGGTGGCTATCTAGTGTTCTTATGCTGTGGCAGGTGCCCTGGTTCAGTGCTGAAGACCACCAGCTCCAGCCAACACAGTGGAAGGGGCTGTCAACCAACACATAACAGCTGGGAAACCACACACAAGCTCCTTTACCTCTCTCTGCTTCTCCCCTCCTCTCCCTCCCTTCCTTCCATTCTTTCTTCCTTCCACTGAGCTATGCCCTAGCCAGGCCTCAGCTCTCTTATCTGCAGTTTGGGTGTGGTGGTTTCTGAGTGCAAATGAAGATAAAGAACACCTGGCAGGATGCTTTCTAAAAATGCAAACATAGTTCCACACACCCTGTGTGTTAGCAAGGGAGGCTCCTGTGGCCTCCAGTCTATTGGAGAACATCTGTTTCTCCATTCTGTAGGCACTTGGATGACTGGGGCTTGGAGACGTGGCTGTATTAGTCATCTTCCTAAGCTTGGCATTACTGCCCTGGGCCCTTGGCACTGCAGCCATGGTCCCTGGCTGCCTTCTTTGCTTTAGAGGTCTGTTGCTGGGCCAGGTATCATGTGTCCCTAGCTCCTTCCATTAGTGTGAGATGAGCCCTGTTGTTGCAAGGAGCAAGAAGGTCCTGTGCTGACATCCAGTGGGCTTGGGAATCCATCTTGGAGGCCTACAGAGGAGCTGGTGATAAGGTCCCCAGATGCTTGGCAATCCTAGTTCCTGAGAGACCTTCCCTCTGGGGACAACTGGCATCTAGACAAAGAGCCAGAGCTGGTGTGGGTCCCTTGGATTGCAGGGTGCCATGGCTGGCTTTTTGTCCTGGGATGTCAGGCAGGTACCAGATCCTGAGTTCCTAATCAGTTGATCCTAAAAGACAACACAGAAAAAGGGTCAGTGTGGCCAAAGACTTCTAAGTGTTATTGGGGGACAATGAGATGGGGGATATCTGACAAAAGGCAAAGGATGAAGACAGATGCTATTTGAAAAAGGGGGAAGAAACCAAGTGCTGGTGGCTCCTGATAACCAGGAGGCTGAGATCTGAGGATCATGGTTCAAAGCCAGCCCAGGCAGGAAAGACTAAAAGACTCTTCAGTTAACCAGCAAAAAGTTGGAAGTGGAGGTGGGGCTCACGTGGCTGAGTGTCTCCCTGAGCAAAGAAGCCAAGCAGGAGTGTAAGGCCTTGAGTTTAAGCCCTAGTACCGGAAGGAAAGAAAGAAAGAGAGAAGAAGGGGAAAGGGAAGGAAAGAGAAAAAGAAAGAGAAAGAAGAGAGAGAGAAAAGAAAGGAAGAAAGAAAGAAAAAAGAAAAAGAATAGAAGAAAGAAAAAAAGAGGGGAGAAAAGAAAGGGGAAGAACAGAAATATGATGGACAGGGCAAATTTGTTCAAAGTATACTGTGGACATATATAGAAATATGATCATGAAAGCTCCTCATAACACAAATGCATGTTCATTAAAAAAAAAGACCCCACACACCCCAAAAAGGTAAAGGAAATGCCGCAAGGCACAAAGAGGACCCTTGCAATTCCTTCCCTGGGGCGTGCCCATCTGCTGAGACGCAGTCTTGAGTTTCTCCCTATCTGGGGCTCATTCCCCATGTGCAGCGGAAGCCTGAGTTGCTGGAATCCAGGAGAACAAGGCAATGGACTCCCAGAAAACGGCTTTCAGGAGCTGCCCCTCCCACAGCTGGCCAGGGTGAAGGACCTAGGCTCCAATGCTCCCCCCATTTTCTGCCTTTGCTCATCCTTCCATTTTCCCCTTTCCTAAAGCTCCTCTTTCCCAGTGGTGGTACAATGGGAAGAACCAAGGCTTTCAAGTGAGACTTGAATAGGTTCAAGTCTCAGACTGCCATTTCTTGGTGATGGATCTTAGGCCAGTCACAGATTTGTTACGCTTCCTCTGGCTCAGATATCTACAGAAATGGAGACATTGTATACTAGGAAAGAGCCTCAGGAAGACTAAGTCTATGAGAGCCAGCCCTGTGCTTTGCACCTGGCACACAGAGGTGGACCAAGTCGTAGGTGATGCTTCACCTTCATCTCACCTACATACATTCAGCCTGTTATACCAGGGCAGGACTGGTCCCATGTTAATTAAATAACTTTATTTTTCTTTTTTTGTCAGTTGTGGGGCTTGAACTCAGGGCCTGGACACTGCCCCTGAGCTCTTTTGTTCAAGACTAGCACTCTACCACCCTGAGCCACAGTTCCACTTCCAGTTTTCTGGTGGTTAATTGGAGATAAGAGTCTCAAAGACTTTCGTGTCTGGGCTGGCTTTGAACTGTGATCCTCAGATCTCAGCCTCCTGAGTAGCTAGGATTACAGGCGTGAGCCACCAGTGGTCATATTCATTTATTTTTGTGTATGTGTTGGTACTAGGGCTTGAACTCAGGTCCTTGCGCTCTCATTTGGCTTTTTCACTCAACACTGGCACTCTACCTTGAGCTATACCTCCACTTCTGGCTTAAAAAATATTAATTGGAGATAAGTATCTCATGGACTGGCTTTGAACTGTGACTCTCTTATCTCAGCTTTCTGAGTAGCTAGGATTACAGGCATGAGCCACCGCTGCCCAAGAAGTCCTATCTTCATACTCAGCCGGGACTAACCACCACCAAACATCACTCCCGCCCTCAGAGCCCGGCTGTGCCAAGCCTACCCTCCCACACTTTTCAAAACATCCTAATCTTTCCATGGTGGCTCAAGGCAGAAGATGGCAGATTCTTGACTCACCTGAGTGAATTCCCATTCCTCGTCCTTGGGCACTTGGCTGTTCTTGCCAGTGAAGTGGCAACTCCGGAGGCCCAGCGTGCTGTCACTGGCATGTAGACACAGCTGCTTTGCAATATTGTGACGAAGGTCCTTCTGGGTTGTGTACTCAAAGTACTGGAAGTCAAGACAAGGAGGTGAAGAGCAGATGGAAAGTCTGCCCACCACACACCACAGCCACCTAGTTACACAGCCTCCTGGGGAGGAGGGCCCATGGGAGGCCAGGCCTAGGTATTTAGTAATTTATGTGTTACCCTCAGAGGTGTGTTTAAAAAAAAACATATCTGGGTTATCTTGGAATCACAGTTCGTATGTATATACATTCTTGTGTGTGTGAACTTGAACTCAGGACCTCATGCTTGCTCAGCTTTCTTGCTCATGGCTGGTGCTCTACCAGCTGAGTCATGCCTCCAACTTTAGGCTTTTTGCTGGTTAGTTGGGGATAAGAGTCCTAAGATTAGCTGGGTGCCAGTGGCTCACGCCTATAATCCTAGCTATTCAGGAGGCTGAGATCTGAGGATCATGGTTCAAAGCCAGCCAGGGCAGGAAAGTCCGTGAGATTCTTATCTCTAATTAACTACCAGAAAATCAGAAGTGGAGCTGTGGCTCAAGTGGCAGAGCACTTGTCTTGAGCTGAAGAGCTCAAGGACAGTGTCCAGGCCTGGAGTTCAAGCTCCATGACTGACAAACAAACAAACAAAAAAAAGAGTCCCAAGATTTGTCTGCCTGGGCTGGCATCAAATCAAGATCCTCAGATCTCAGCCTCCTGAGTAGCTAAGATTATAGGTGTGAACCACTAGAACTTGGCAGACTTCATGCATATATATTCTCTAAAATAACTAAAACTTAGAATTTACCTTAGTCTTGTTTTGAGCACATTCTATGAATAATGTGCTGGATATGGTAGTTTTACTTTTGTGTTTATGTGTTTGTTTCTTTTGAGAGAGGATCATCCTATGTAACCCAGGCTGGCCTCAAATTTGTAATCTTCCTGCTTTAGCCTCCCAAGTCCTGGGATTACAGGCCTATACTACTCTATCTAGTTCCTAGTTCCATTTTTGCTAATAGATTACTATTAGAAGAAAAAATGGTGCTTGCTTCGGCAGCACATATACTAAAATTGGAACAATACAGAGAAGATTAGCATGGCCCCTGAGCAAGGATGACACGCAAATTCATGAAGCATTCCATATTTTTGGAGTCAAAGCAGACACTCTGAAAACATTACAGGATGGAATAGGAGAAACCCCAGGTCTCCTTGGCACAGGCCGAAATTTTCTTAATAGAGACCCAGAAACACAACAAATCAAAGAAAGGTTGGGCAAATGGGATTGCATGAAATTGCAGAGCTTCTGCATGGCAAAGAACATAGCTAGCAAGATCAATAGAAAGCCCACAGATTGGGAGAAGATCTTCACTAGCCATACAATGGACAAGGGTCTCATATCTAAAATATACCTGGTACTCAAAAACTTAAATCCCCCAACAACAAATCCTCAAAGAAACAACGGCCCAATAAATAAGTGGGCTAAAGACTTACAGAGAAACTTTTCTGAAGAGGAAAGAAGGATGGCCAATAGACACATGAAGAAATGCTCAACCTCCCTAGCCATTAAAGAAATGCAAATTAAAACAACATTGAGATACCACGTCACCCCAGTTAGAATGACTATAATCAAGAACTCTCATAACAACAGATGCTGGAGGGGATGTGGACAGAAGGGAACCTTACTGCATTGTTGGTGAGACTGTAAACTTATTCAACCACTTTGGAAAGTAGTATGGAAGTTCCTCAAAAGACTCCACATAAAGTTCCCCTATGACCCAGCAATCCCACTTTTGGGCATTTACCCGAATGATCACAAAGAAGACAATACTAAAGCTACCAGTACAACTATGTTTATTGCAGCCTTATTTACCATAGCTAAGACATGGAACTAACCCAGATGTCCCTCAGTAGATGAAAGGATCAAGAAAATGTGGTATATATACACAATGGAATTCTATGCCTCCATCAGAAAGAATGACATTGCCCCATTTGTTAGGAAATGGAAAGACTTGGAAAAAAATTAAGTGAAGTAAGTCAGGCCCAAAGAAATATAGGTCCCATGGTTCCCCTTATTTGCAATAACTAGTATATATCTGAGACAAACAGATACTGTCAGACAAGTTGATGTTAGGCGAAATGAACCCCAAGATAAGGATTCAAATGTTTTTTTTCTTTCTTGCAATTGTTTCCAACATATTTATAAGATGATTTCTTTGTTGCTTTGTATGTACCTCCCCCACAGTATAACCCCTGCTTTCACTGTATTTGATGTTGATATAATTTGTGGAGGGGAAGGGAAAAAAAACTGTTTAAATAGGGATACAGGTGGACCCATTACAACAATGAGATGTACAAGATGTTATGTCAAAAAATGAACTTTACAACTTTGGCGGGGTGGGTGGTGGTGGGGGTGGTGGGATGGTGGTAGGGGATGTGGGAGGTGGGGGAGTGGAGATGGGAAGGGATGGGAAGGGGAAACAAAGGAGGAGGCAACAATGCTTGATAAGAAATGTACTCACTATCTTGCCCATGTAATTGTAACCCCTCTATATGGTATTTTCACAATAATAAAAAAAAAGAAAAAATGTTGCTGGGTATGTGGTGCAGACCTGTAATCCAAGCTACAAGGAAGCAGAGATGAAAAAATCTCTGTTCGAGGCCAACCTGGGCAAAATAATTAGTACAAACCTATCCCCACAACAAGCTAGGTATGGTGGCACATGACTGTAGTCCCAGCTATACAGGAGGCAGAGGTAGGAGTGTCATGCCCAGGACAGCTTAGGCAAAATCACAAGACTTTATTTGAAAAATAAGGTTTAGAAGGATTGAGGATGGCTCAAGTACTAGTTCAAATCCAACACCCTGATTTCAAATCCCAGTACAGCTTAAAGAAAAAGTTAAGCCAGGAGCCAGTGGCTCATGCTTGTAATCCTAGCTACTCAAGAGGCTGAGATCTGAGGATGGAGGTTCAAAGCCAGCCCAGGTAGGAAAGTTTGTGAGACTCTTATCTCCAATAAACCATCAGAGAACTGGAAATGGCACTGTGGCTCAAGTGGTAGAGCATTAGCCTTGGGCTGAAGAGCTGAGGGACAGTATCCAGGCCCAGAGTTCAAGCCCCACGACCCCCCAAAATTTTTTTTAAAAAGTTTTTTTTTTTTTAAAGTCAGGCACTAGTGGCTCATATCTATAATTCTAGCTACTCAGGAAGCAGAGATTAAGAGGATCATGGCTCAAGGTCAGCCTGGGCAAAGAATTCCTGAGACCTCATCTCAGTCAATAGCTAGATGGAACAGCATGCTTCTGTCATACCAGCTGTATGAGAAGCAGAAATAAGGGATTACAGGCCAGGCCAGCCTCTGGCCAATAAACAAACAAACAAATAGTTCATTAATATATCATTTAAAATCTGCTTACAGGCCAGTGGTGCTGTAGAAGAGACAGTTTTTTTTTTTTTTTTTTGGTTGGTCGTGGGGCCTGAACTCTGGGCCTGGGCGCTGTCCCTCAGCTCTTCAGCTCAAGGCTAGCACTCTACCACTTGAGCCATAGTACCACTTCTGGCTTTTTCTGCTTACGTGGTGCTGAGGAATCAAACCCAGGGCCTCATGCACTCTATCACTGAGCCACCTTCCCAGCCCCAAGAGGCAGCTTTTGAATAGCCCTGACTTCATGCATATGACCACAGCCCATTTAGTGTCAGTGTCCCAAGCCATTCCTTTAGTTGCTTCGGATGTCCATTTAACACAGTTTCTTAGGCTGGGGATATAACTCGGTAGAGAGTGTGCTTGCTTAGTATACCCAAGGCCCCAGGTTCAATACCAGAACTATGAAGAAAAAAGAAAAAGAGGTGCCTCTTATTTATTGGAGGCTGGCATGGGGGTTTTCCTCAGAGAGGTGCTAGGACATTGTAGTGTGAGATGCCAGAAGGTGATTGGGGTAGGATCCCAGTGGAGGTTGCTAGGCACTGAAGATATACTGTAGCTAGGCACCAGTGGCTCACACCTGTAATCCTAGATACCTGGGAGGTTGAGATTTGAGGATCAAGGTTTGAAGTCAGCTAGGGTGGGAAAGTCTATGATACTCTTAACGCCAATTAACCAGAAAAAAAAAAAAGCCAGATGTAGAAGTATGGCTCAAGTGGTGGAATGCTAGCCTTGGACTAAAAATCTCAGGGACAGTGCCTAGGCCCTGAGTTCAAGCCCCAAAGCTCCTCCCATGGAAAAGGCCATGTGGATGAGGAAATGGCAGTCTGCTGCTGGCCTCCACTTCCTCTCAATTGTGCTGCCCCCTCTTTCCATCCAGCTCCCACCATGGATGCCAGTGCTCTGCCCCTCAGTCCAGACTTCAGGCCTCATCTGTCTGTGCCATACTTCCCTCTCAGACTGGCATCTTCCCAAGGTTGGTACCTCCCCCACTCCCCAGGCTGTTTCCAATAGAGAAGGATCAGGGAAGGAGAGGAGGCTTGGAACCACAGGCTCCCCCCCGCCCCCCCGCCCCACACTCCCACCCTGGCCTGCCCCATGGGCTTTGTACCTGATTGCCACCAAGGCCGTGGCAGAAGTACATAATGAGGGGCTTCCCACCGCTGCGATTGTTCTCCCCCACGTCCAGACATTGTTCGGTGCCAAGGTTCTTGATCTGCAGAGTGGTAAGCACAGAAGGGAGCTGGGTTGGCCTAGCTGGAAGTTTCCTAGTTTGCAGTGTGAGGCCCAATGGGAATAAACATTCTCGTTTCTCTGTTCATTAACCAGGATGCCTGGAGTGAATAGCAAAGTAAGGTAAAGAAACCTGCCCCCACTCCAGGGCCGGGTGCTGGCGGCTCATGCCTGTAATCCTACTATTTAGGAGGCTGAGATCAGAGGTTTGAGGTTCAAAACCAGTTCGGGCAGGAAAGTGCATGAGACTCTTGTCTCCAACGAACCACCAGAAAACTGGAAGTGGTGCTGTGGCTCAAAAGGGTAGGGTGCTAGCCTTAAACAAAAAGAGCTGAGGGACAGCACAAAAAAGAACCCCCAAAGCTGGAAGGATAGAACTGGAGCCACTACAGGGCAGGATGAGCATTCCCACAGGATACCAAATGTCTGGAAGAAGCCCTCAACATGTAAGAGTTGCCTTAGGAGCAGACCGTGAGTGTCCCTGGAACTTTGCATTCCCTCCCCCAGCCCTTTTGGATGGGAAACTCTGGGGGTGTATGCAGCAGTGTTTTAACATGTCTTCCTGCCGATTCTGATGCATATTAATATTTTTGGGTGTGTGCCAGTACTGGGGTTTGAACTCAGGGCCTGAGCGCTGTCCCTGAACTTTTTCACTCAAGGCTAATGCTCTATGTTTGAGCCACAGTCCCACTTCTGGCTTTTTGCTAGTTAGAGATAAGAGTCTCAAGGACTTTCCTGCCCAGGCTGGCTTCAAACCTTGATCCTTAGATCTCAGCCTCCTCACTGGCTAGAATTACAGGTATGAGACACCAATGCTAGGTTTGTGTATTAACATTTGAGAAGCACTGCTCATGGGTTATTTTTCCCTTAGCAGGTTTTGGGCTACCCCAGGAAGCTCCAGAGGGGCCTCTTGGTGTATATCTTGGTTAAAGGAGGGTGGAAGGTATAAAGTAACGGTTGCGGTTAGTGTACTGATGGATTGATTCTCAAACTTACAGCTCCGTAGAAGGTGGGATTCAGGTCAGGAACAAACATCTCTGGATAGATGTTGTGCAGAAACCAGGAAAAGTTGCGACAGTGTAGTTGTTCCCTCAGTTGCAGTCGTTCTGAGATGTCACCAAAGGATTTCTGCCAATCAAGCCAGCCCCCTAAGAGTCAGTTCCACAGCCCTGACCTTCCAGCCCAAGCTGATGCAGCCTGGACAGCACACAGCTCCCTGGGGTACTCTGGCTCCTGCTCTTTCCTTCTCAGGACCTGATGAAGCTATTGGCTCAGTCTCACACCCAATCCCAAACCTCCTGCCTTGGTTTAGGAACCAATACTCCTATTCTTCTCAGAACCATTCCTTTTTTTTTTTTTTAACTACAGTACTGAGGCTTGAACTCAGGACCTCACTCTCTCAATTGGCTTTTTCTGCTCAAGGTTGGTGCTCTGTGACTTGAGCCACAGCTCCACTTCTAGCTTCTTGCTGGCTAATTGGAGATAAGAGTTTCAGGGACTTTTCTGCCTGGGCTGGCTTTGAACTTCGATCCTCAACCTCCCAAACAGCTAGGATTACAGGCACCAGCCATTCTTCCTATAAGTGGTTTTTCCCCAAATCTCTTACCTCCCCCCCCCCCCAAGGATTTAAGACTCATTAGATATGGACAATTAAGCCCTCTCTCTTTTTCTAGCTTTTGTTAGTTGGAGCCCTCTGCTGGGGGGGGGGTGAAGGAAGACTCAAGATAAAGGTGTGTTGTAGAGTTGGGGCGGCCTTGACGAGGGCCTGGGGTTCTGGACCCCTATTCACTCAAATGGCTTCCAATTGCCACTTCCTCTCACCTCCTGGGCCATCTTCGCTGCCTGTAGGTTTCTCCTGTAGAAAATCTTCTTGTAGTTGTCCATCCAGACCTCGGCCAGGCGCACTTGGTTACGAGCAATGACACTGGTGCCCTTGGGGAAGGTGTGGGGGCTCTTGGTACGGAACACATGGCCTACCACTGAGCAGGGGATGATCTCCAGCTGTCCCCCACACTGCCACACCTGCCACGAGAAGAGACAGGACAGGGCCTTCAGGGGGTGTGGCCAATCTCCCTCCAAGCAGCTCTCTTCAGTTCTCAGGGTGCCCAACACCAGGTCCCAAGACTCAGGGAAATGGGATTCTTTTTTCCCCCTGGAAAAAGGGACATTGACCATGCTTCTTCCTACACCACAACTACACAATTCCAGGCTCTCTAATGTTGGTTCCCTCTGATTCTAGCAAACATTGATTTGCAGGATCATGAGGTGGACAAAATGCCTATTTCAAAGAAAAGACAGTTGGTGAACTTTGTGTGTTTTTGTATACCTACTCTGAGTTCTGATCATTTGCTTTTTGATCTGGAACCATGATTTTTTTTTGTGGGGGGGGTGGTTTGGTCCTGGGGTTTGAAGTCTGGTAGTTTCCCTGGAGTCTCTTTGTGCTCAAGGCTAGCGCTTTACCACTTGAGCCACAGTGCCACTTCTGGCTTTTCCTGAGTAGTTTATTGGAAATAAGAGTCTCACAGACTTTCCTGCCTGGTCTGGCTTCAAGCAATGATCCTCATATCTCAGCCTCCTGAATAGCTAGGATTATAGGCATGAGCCACCAGTACCCAGCTAGAAATGTGATTTTTAATCAGCTCACCTAAGGGTTTACTAGAAACTGTAGTCCTTTCAAATAAGGCATTAATGCATGAATCACAGGACAGTCAACTGTCAGCGGGCACCAGGTAGTCACCTGGGACCTTAGCTTCCTAAGATAGGAGCTGCACAAATGTCAGAGGCTTATTGAGCAGTGTGAACTAGAATTATGGGAATTATGGAAACTGACCAAGTGACCATTTTCCTGAAACCTAAGATATTCATCCCTTCCACTGACTCATCTTTTGGGTTTTATTATTTTTATTTATTTATTTTTATTATTTTTATGCTGGTATTGAACTCATATTCTCCCTTGGCTTTTTCACTCAAGGCTGGTGCTCTACCACTTGAGCCACAGCTCCACTTTGGGCTTTTTGCCCAAATTGGAGATTAGAGTCTTACGGACTTTTCTGGCTGGCTTTAAACTATGTGTGATCCTTAGATATCAACCTCCTGAGTAGCTAAGATTACAGGCGTGAGCCACTGGTACCTGGCTTCTTTCGGGTTTTATATGATGAGGCACATGTGCTTCATTTTTGTGTGGCAACAATGAAAGCACAGAATCATAAGTGCAGTAATGGAAGAAGCTGTTTACATTATTTAACATGTGCCCGACACTGACAGATGACGTCATGAACAAACTCATTCACCTAGTACTTGATTTCTCACTGGCATAGGGGTTTGCACAGGTTTCACAGAGACAATCTTTCTTCTTGATCTAATCTTGATTTGTCCAGTTCCTAGAATCCCTGGGGTCTGCATCCACCAGAATCACAGTCCCCCTCTTGTCCCACAGTTATGAAGAGCTTGTTGAGGATAAACAAGGAAAATCCAAAGGCTACCAGAGGTTATGTCTTTTGATCTGGAGAGGGGAGCCTGAAGCCCCCACTCCCCCAAAAAGAGTTCCCAGTCCTCAGATGTCCAGCCCCGACGATCCCTAATATCCTCCCCTCTGAGAAGTTCTGCATGGTAATTTGTTTTAAGCAGTCTAACTGCCAGAGCCCCTGCCACGGACAAGGAGGGGAGCAGAGGAAGGGCAGAGCCATGGCAGGAACCAGCCACCCTATCAACTTCTGGTCCAGATGGGTCATTACCGACAGCCAGCTCTTCAAGCTGTGCCCTGGAATGCTGTAGTTCCCCCACAAAGCCCCTCTTCACTCTCACCCGGAAGGACATTTCCACGTTCTCCCCTCCCCAGATCTCCATCTGATTATCATAGGTACCGATGTGCTCAAAGTAGGCCTTGGAAATGGAGAAGAGGCCTCCAGCAAATGTTGGGGATCTAGAGAAACAGAGGGAGAAATGTGTGATGAGGGGAGCAACTTGTGGCCTCCACTCGTAGGCCTCCTAGCCTCTCTCCCTCCCTCCCTTTCCTTCCTGACATCCCAGGACAGGCAGTCACTCTTCCACTAAGCCACTCACTCTTGCTCATTGAGCTTTGATTATGTCCTCTCTCACTGCAGGACCAGGTCAAGGAGAGGTGTAATTAACATTCCTCCTCTAGAAGGTGCTCATTTGTTCAACCAGTGGTTTCTGAAATGCCAGCCTGTACTACAGGGTGAGCATCAGAGCTGATAAAGACAGCTGGGTCCCTCAGAATGCAATCCACCACCAGCGGAAAGCCCCATCACTGTTTTTTTTGACAGCAATGCGACAGATAATCTTTTTTTTTTTTTTCTGGTACTGGGGCTTGAATTCAGGGCCAGAGTGCTTTTATGCTCAAGTCTGGTGCTCTACCACTTGAGCCATACCCTCATTTCCAGCTTTTTTGTCTGGTTAACTGGGAATAAGAGTCTCCTGGACTTTCCTGCCTATGCTGGCTTTGAACCTTGATGCTCAGAACTTAGTCTCCTTGGTGCCTGGAATTTTTTTTTGTGTGTGTGTGCCTGTCCTGGGGCTTGAATTCAGGGCCTGAGTGCTGTCCCTGTTTTGTTCAAGGTTGGTGCTCTACCACTCAAGCCACACCCCACTTCCAGTTTTTTTGGTTGTTAACTGAAGAGTCTCTTGGACTTTTCTGCCTAGGCTGGCTTTGAACCACAATCCTCAGATCTCAGTCTCCTGAGTAGCTAGGATTACAAGTGTGAGCTACCAGCTCAGATAGTTAATTTTTACAAGCTAGATAAATTGGTTTTGGACATAGGCAGGATTCAATGAATGAATGAATGAATGAATATTAGCTGAGTGGACCCTATTCTGGATCAGGGTCCTTGATCTTTCAGGGATTCTAAGGCCATAGGAACCTAACCCTGGGGTTTTATACTACCAGAGAAACTTAACGTTTTGAGGAAAAGCAGCCAGTCACCTTGAACAGTAGCCACTGATAAGAGGGGCTGCTGGAATGGGGTAGGTAGACAGTGAGATTGGGCTCAATGTTTAGCAGGCTAGAGCTGCCCAAGAATCTGACTTTCAAACAAAGGCAGGGAGGTACAGTGAAGACACATTGATAAAAACAACTCATTTCTAGAATCTATGGACTTCAGTGGCCAGGAGGAAGAATAAGCACCAAGGGAGGTAGGAGTATAGGCCGGGATGGGCAGAAGCAGGTAATCAGCAGCTATTGGTTTCTATGCCAGGGTCAGGCTGGGTTAGACGAGACTTTGTTGTCCTCAGGGGCTGGCTTCCTATAGTATGACCAAGCAGAAACCGCTGGATTCCTAGAACCTACTAAGATATCTGAAACACAGTGGGGGCCCAGCCAGCAGTCATTAGATCTATATATCAAAGTGACTCTCACAAGCTGGGTGTCAGCGGCTCACTCCTGTAATCCTTGCTACACAGGAGGTGGAGCTGTGAGGATCATGGTTCAAAACCAGCCTGGGCAGGAAAGTCTGTGAGACTCTTATCTCCAGTTAACCAGAAAAAAAGCCTGAAGTGGAACTGTGGCCAAGTGGTAGAGTCCTAGCCTTGAGCAAAAAAGATAAAAGACAGCACCTAGACTTTAAGTTTAAGCCCTGATACTGGCACCAAAAAGAAAAAAAAAAAGCGGCTACAAGCACCTAGCTTTGGTTTTACTCTGTGGCTGCTCATCTCCCTCATGTTGGCTCCTGTGGCCAATTCTGGGAGGAATTTCATTTGGAAACCCTGGTGTTAAGGCTAGCTTCTTGTTCCTGGTTCTATCCTCTTCCAGGCATCCTAAAGTCCCATGTGGACCCAGAGAGGCTCAGAGCCAGCCGGGCGCTGGTGGCTCACGCCTGTAATCCTAGCTACTCAGGAGGCTGAGATCTGAGGATCGTGGTTCAAAGCCAGCCCGGGCAGGAAAAACCGTGAGACTCCTATCTCCAATAAACCACCAGAAAACCGGAAGTGGCGCTGTAGCTCAAGTGGTAGAGTGCTCGCCTTGAGCTGAAGAGCTGAGGGACAGCGCCCAGGCCCAGAGTTCAAGCCCCACGACCGACAAAAAAAAAAAAGAGAGGCTCAGAGTCCTAGAGCTCCACATGAGTACTTGGAGGCTAATGTGCTCTTAGAATTGCCCCTACTAAATACCAGGTATTTCCTGGCCTACTTCTCTGGGGGACTCTGGATCCTTCAGCTCTCCTATTAGCCTTTCTCCTTGTCTTCCTCCTTCTTCCCTCTTCTTCTTCCTCCTCTTCCTCTTCCTCCTTTTCCTTTCCTTTTCCTTTTCCTTTCCCTTCCTTTCCTTTCCTCCCTCTTCCTTCCTTCCTTCCTTCCTTCCTTCCTTCCTTCCTTTCTTCCTTCCTTCCTCCCTCCCTCCCTTCCTTCCTCCCTTCCTTCTTTCCTTCCTTCTCCTCTTTCTCTTCTTCCTCCTCCATGTCAGACTTGGGTCTTGAACTCAGGGCCTGGGCCCTGTCCCTTAGCTTTTCCCCCTCAAGGCTGAACTCCAGCATTTGAGTGACACCTCCACTTTTAGATTTTTGGTAGTTAATTGGAGATGAGTCTCATACATCTTTCTGCTTGGCCTGGCTTTGAACCTTGATCCTCAGATCTCAGCCTCCTGAGTAGCTAGGATTCTGCTCCTGAGTCAGGGGTATCTAGCCAGTCACCAGCTTTGAGAGTGAGGGCTCAAGGCCCTCTTGGTGCTTGGGGCAAGCCACGTGTGCTGCCAGGATATTTGGAATTAGGCACAAATACACTTCTCAGACACTGGAACTTTGTCCTCCGGTTGTATAGTCTTTGGCTATCAGAGCCTGAGACTTTTGTGAGGGTGGAGACCAGGTGCCCTGCCCTGGACCCGTGCAGCTGGGTGCCTGGCCCTAGGTTGGGTGGGATTTGTTGCAGCACAGGCAAAACAAAAGGCATCTATAAAACAAGTGGACTGTTGATAAGGAGTTCTGATTCCTTTTCTCTCTCTGTTTTCCCTCTCTAATGGAGACAGAACAGCCAGCCAGGATTCATGGGGTTTCACTACATGGCCTCCATGTAGGCCCTCTCACCTGAGATTCTGGGGAAGCATTTCTTAGGATTCTGAGCAGCTGAAGAGGAACCCCAACATTCTTTCCAAGCCTTCCCTCTAGTCTCTGACCACTATATCCCAACCTCTGCTTTCCTCCAGCCCTGAGGTTTATTCAGTTGACCCTTAGGTCTTCTGGCCAGAAGAGGAAAACAGGAACACACCAAATCTGATCTGAAACAACGGTTAAGACAGATAGTCTGGAAGTGGCGCTGTGGCTCCAGTGGTAGAATGCTCACCTTGAGCTGAAGAGCGCAGGGATATTGCCCAATCCCAGAGTTCAAGCCCCAGGACCGACAGAAAAAAAAAAAAAAAAGACAGATGGTCTTGCTGGGTGCCAGTGTCTCATGCCTATAATCCTAGCTACACAGGAAGCTGAGATCTAAGGATCATAGTTCAAAGCCAGCTTGGGCAGGGAAGTCAGTGAGATTTTTTTTTTTTGCCAGTCCTGAGGCTTGAACTCAGGGCCTAGGCACTGTTCCTGAGCTTCTTTTGCTCAAGGCTAGTACTCTACCACTTGAGCCACAGCGCCACTTCTGGCCTTTTCTGTTTATGTGGTACTGAGGAATCGAACCCAGGGTTTCATGCATGCTAGGCAAGCACTCTATACTACGCCACATTCCCGGACCTCAGTGAGATTCTTATCTCCAATTAACCACCAAAAAAAGGCCAGAAGTGGAGCTGTGGCTCGAATGATAGAGTGCTAGTCTTGAGTGGAAAAAATAAAGTGTCCATGCCCTGAGTTTAAGCCCCATGACCTACACACACACACACACACACACACACACACACACAGAGTCTCTAATAGCACCTGCACTAGGTGTACAGGGATGGAGAAGCAGGTGAGAGGGAGCTTAGCCCAGCTGGACTTTAAACAGTGGATTAAACTTCCGTCTCCACCTAACAATGCAGGACCTGGCAAGCTAATCCTAAGGGCATAATGCTTGTTTTATAGGGCTTTGAGCCCAAGAATAGTTGTGTGTGTTTGTATGTGTGTGTGTGTGTGTGTATGCACATGCATGCTTGTGCAGTGTGCATGTGCGTGTGTGTGTGTGTGTGTGTATTCTTTTTTTTTCTTTGTCATGGGGCTTGAACTCTGGGCCTGGGCGCTGTCCCTCAGATCTTCAGCTCAAGGCTAGAGCTCTACCATTTGAACCACAGTGCCACTTCTGGTTTTCTGTGGTTTATTGGAGATAAGAGTCTCATGGAGTTTCCTGCCCCGGGGTTGGCTTTTAGCCATGATCCTCAGATCTCAGCCTCCTGAATAGCTAGGATTATAGGCGTGAGCTACCGACACCCAGCTGTGTGTGTCCTTAAGCTTGAGCTCAGTGTCTCCCACTCTTGCCTGTCTTTTTCTGGTGCTCTGCCACTTGAGCCGCATCTCCACTTTGGGCTTTCTGTTGGTTAATTGGAGATAGAGAAGTTTCTCAAATTTATCTGCCTGGGCTGGCTTCAAACTTCCATCCTCAGATCTTAGCATCCTGATTAGCTAAGATTATAGATGGGAGTCAACTAGCACCTGGCAACTTTAACATTTAAAAAGTGCTGAAAGAAATCAAAACCAAAAGAACAATACAATGCATTGTATATGGTTGGCAAAACTTAAGATGGTTACTATCTGACCCTTTTCAGATTAAGTCTGGTCAGCTGTAGCAAACTTTTAGCTGCAGAAAAGTGACCTAGTGCATTTTATTCTAATTAACCATTTAAAAAGTCAGAAGTGGAGCTGTAGCTCAAGTGATAGAGTGCTAGTTTTTAGCAAACAAAAAAAAAAGACAAAAAAAACCCCCTCAGGGATAGTGCCCAGGCTCTGAGTTCAAGTCCTAGGACTGGCACAAAAACAAAAACAAAACATGTCAAGTGTTTGATAGAGCGTCTAATAAATACTGGTGTGTTAGGAGGGTGATGGCCGGGTTGGGGGGTCACCAGGCGGTGGTCCTTACTTGATGGGATAGGTCTCATCCTTGCGCCTCTGCTTCTCATGTGCAGGTAGAGTCTCCCAGCCGAAGGTCAGGCTCCAGTCAAAGTTACCGCGGCTATGGACTCGGCCCGTCTGCACCGGCTTGGAGAACTTGAAAGTATTAAGGTCGATGGTGACAATGTCCGGGCTCACCACTGCCGTCTTGTCCTCAGCAATTCGAGCCAGCAGCGGCTCTAGCCAGCCATGGAAGCACTCACCTGTAGACCCAGACAGCCATAGCCAGATCACACCCCTTCTTGGGGGGATGGGCGGGACACAGCAGGATCGGGGACCTGCCCCCATCCTCTGGTTACTGTCAGAGCATTGGGTGATCTCTCACCCCACCACCCCTTGAAAGATGGAGGTGACTTTGGAAGGGGGAATGGAGGTCTCAGGAGAGTAATATTCTCAACTGCAGTGATACAAAAGCACAAGGCAGGCTCTGCATAGGGATCTTCAAAGTCCCAGTCCCCCCAACAAAAGAGTGGATTTTGGAAAGGAGTGTTTACCTCCCCCAGAGTATTTGCATACCAAGTTCTATTCAATTGTATACTTTCCTCAACTTTTGAAACTTCCAGTGAACTTCAATTGTACACTTTCCTCAACTTTTCAAACGTCAGTGAACAAATATTGCTTTGTCTGGCTTGTTGGAATCTAATTTTGTTAGATGAGCAAGGATGAACTCAGTCTCATTTTACAAATGAGAAAACTTGCCGGGTGCTGGCAGCTCATGCCTGTAATCCTAAACCACTCAGCAGGTTGAGATCTGAGGATCACAGTTCAAAGTCAGCCCAGGCAGGAAAGTTGGTGAGCCTCTGATCTCCGAGTCCCCAATATTTGTCACTGCTCATGAGGAACAACCTCTCATCTGTACCCCACAATGGTGGGGAGATGTTCTGGTTTTGGTCAAGAGGGAGATATTTCTTGGCTCCACATTTCTCCCTCCTACAGGAAAGCTCCCCACAATCCAATTCTCCCTGTAAGAGGATCTCTCGTGAGTGGCAGGTATGTGGATGGGGAAAGAGGTAGGAATGAACAACTGGTGGTCCAGATCACACTCCAAGATTTGGGGGTCACCAATTGTTTTAGGGCTGTTCATGCCTCTTGAGGAAGAGGCAGAAGTGGATGAGGGTCCCAAGCCTCTTATCCTAGAACTGTACTACAGGACAGTTCCCACCCTGCATTCTGCCAGGGAGAGAAGCCGGAGACTTAGAACTTCAGGGTGCCAGGCACATGTCTGTTACTCACAGTGAGCATCCAGGAAGGTGAGCACCTCTGCCTGTGCTACGCTGGCCCCCAACAGCCGGGCAGTGATCAGCCCCTTCCGCTCTTCCTGCCGTACCACCCTCACGATCTGCAGCTGCTGCACGTACCGCTCCAGTTTCTCCTTCAAGTATTCTGCAAGGGACAAGGCTATTGTTGCCAGTCTGCCATTGTTGCAAACCTAATCCCCTGTGGGCACAAAGCTGGTGCCCCAGGCCTGAATGTCAACCCTCCCACACACCTGCTCTGAGACATTCATTCTACAGAAGGCAAAGGCGGGGAAGGAGACAGGGGAACAGAGTAGAAGGAAGCCCTGACTTCTGGCCAGGCCCAAGCCCTGCCTGCTACACTGGTGCCAGGGGCACCTCCTCTATTATCTTAAAGCTGTGTTTCTTTAGTCTCCATCAGAGTCTACACTTCTAGCAATGGCTGTTTGATGCCTTACTCAGTGTTTCCACTGTCTCAGAGCTACCATTCTGGCTGCCTTTGTCCTCTTTGTAGCCCTCTCAGTGTCTGTCATTTCCGGTCTCCTATCTCTTTACAGTAAGTTCATCTGATAGAGACGACACAGAAGATATAGATGCTGATTTCTCCTGTGTGTGCCCATCCTCGGGCTTGCACTGTCCCATAGCTCTTTTGCTCAAGGCTAGCACTCTATTACTTGAGCCACAGCCTCATTTCTGGCCTTTTGGTAGTTAATTGGAGATAGTCTCACAGACTTTCCTGCCTGGGCTGGCTTTGCACTGGGATCCTCAGATCTTAGTCTCCCGAGTAGCTAGGATTACAGGCATGAGCCACGGGTACCCAGCTACATGATGTTGATTTCTTGCTTGCTGAATCAGCAGCTTTTTGTTGTTGTTTGGTAGCATTGGGGAATGGAACCCAGGGCCTGGTACAGTACAGTCAAACTATCACTGAGCTACATCCTCAGCCCCAATCCTCTCAATTTCTTCTTCTGCATATGGAACTTTCCCCACTGTGGATTGTGGGGGTTGAACTCAGGGCCTGGGCACTGTCTCTGAATGTTTTTGCTTAAGGCTAGTGCTCTACTACTTTGAGTGACTGGTCCACTTCTGGTTTACTGGTGGTTAAGTGGACATAAGAGCCTCACAAGCTGGGTGCCAGTGGCTCACGCCTGTAATCCTAGCTACTCAAGAGGCTGAAATCTGAGGATCTCGGTTCAAAGCCAGCCCAGGCAGGAAAGTCCATGAAACTCTTATCTCCAATTAACTACCAGAAAACCGGAAGTGGCACTGTGGCTCAAGTGATAGAGCACTGGCCTTGAGCTGAAGAGCTGAGGGGCAGCGCCCAGGCCCAGAGTTCAAGCCCCATGATCCAACCAAAAAAAAAAAAAGAGTCTCACAGACTTGCTTGACTGGGCTGGCTTTAAACTAAGATCGTCAGATTTCAGCCTCCAGAGTAGCTAGGATTACAAGTGTGAGCCACTGTTACCCTGCTACATATGGAACTTTTTTTTTTTTTGGGTCCAGTCGTGGGGCCTGGGCACTGTCCCTCAGCTCTTCAGCTCAAGGCTAGCGCTCTACCACTTGAGCCACAGTGCCACTTCTGGCTTTTTTTCTGCTTATGTGGTGCTGAGGAAT